CACACACATATGTGTGTATACATATATATGTATACATACATGTATTTATATGTAGATGTATTTATGTGTGTATATATATATATATTTATGTATGTATAATTAAAAAGATGGATGTCGCACAGACTCCGGCACGGGAGCTGCATACATACATAATAATTATGAGAAATCCAGCCGGCTTTCTGACCATCACAGCATTTACACCGCCGAGTTGATAGTCATTTATTCTTCCCTGCGGTACATCAAAAGACATAATCTGCAGCAAACCGTCATATGTATAGACCCTCGCTTATTTATCGAAGCAATAGCCCCTATTCCCAACGTATCTCATCCAGTCATAACGCAAGTCAGACAGACACTCATCTTTCCCGCACTGTCATTATATCATCTTTCTGTAGATACCAGGTCACTCGGGTATTCATGGAAACGATCCACCAGATGCCGCCGCGAAACAATCAATTATTACCCATCCGTAATCATCTGTATTGCCCAATTTCAGATAAACTTGATTTGCTCAGCTCCAGTCACAAGCAATTCCCCAACGTGAGTGGGACCAATGCGTACCACTCACGCACATCAAACCACGACTCGAACACTGGAACGCGTACCACTCATGCACATCAAACCACGACTCGAACACGGGAACAGCGCACAGAAAAACACGCATCTGAAGAAGGTCCCGCTCACGGGTCTCCGGATAAGCCACACCATATCAGCGCACTTACATGTTTTCGACGGGATACCGCCCGCCCCATGTCACTCCTGTCACACTCCGTGTACCGTCGAACATCTTCTGCTCGCACGTCATACACGCCAACGCGCGCACAATCACGCGTGCACTACACATATACGCATTGGCTCCCACTTTTGCTCTTTTATACATACATATACACATTGGCTCACAACCATCTTTTGCGACTCCTATGCGGGCATCTTCGACCTCCTCTTCTACTTTCTACACAACACAAAGTTGGATAATTGCATATAAATGTTGCGACGTTTTTCATGCGCAATTGCAAACGTGCAGGTTTTTCTCTGTACGCAGGGTTTTCCACCCAAAATTCGGCCAAAACGTGCCGGCGTTTCCATTTGCATAGGAATCCAAGTTTTGCTTGAGAGGACTTCCCCGGATTAACTTAACGCACCACACGACAAGGTCGCGCCGGGCCGCTGCGCCGGCTCCCTGGTCGCAGGCAGGGCCGCAGAGGCAGGGGAATCCATCTTGAGGCGATGATGCGGGTCTGATCCACCGGCTGAGCCAAGGGGGACTCGGTTGCGGCAATGAAGCGGCTCTGACATCCGCACTGTACTGTGCTTCATTGTGTATATATGCAGCTGCTTGTGCTGAATATATGAATATGCGAGCTCGCCGTGTTTTTATTGGCTTACCTTTGCATATGGGCAAAATTGTTCGTTTAGCGTAGCATAGCTTTCCCTATCCCTTGTTTTGCGTCGGATGGCATAAGCCAGCTTAATGTAAGCTTTTGCCTGGCTTTCAGTGAAAAGCAAATTGTCCCGCCGTGGCTATGACTCTGGGTCGACGGGGCAAAAAAAGGATAAAAAGGTGATCCTTACATCATAAATATGCTCAGAAACACGGCTGAGTGCTGTGTGCGTGGTCTTTTCCGCGCCGGACATGCTGCCTCTCCGGTTCCGGACACGCGGCCTCTCCTGTGCGAGACATATTGCTTCTCCTGTGCCGGACATGCTGCCTCTCCTGTGCCGGGCACACGACACCCCCAGTGCCAAACGTGCGGTCGCCCTGATGCTGGACGGTCCTCTCTTGTGTCAGACACGCAGCCTCTTCTGTGCCAGAAACACGACCACCCTAGTGTTAGACGACTGCTCCTGTGCCGGACACGCAGACTCTTCTGTGCAAGAAACATGGCCACCCTGGTGCTGGACGGCTGCTCCTGTGCCGGACATGTTGCCCCTCATAAGCTGGCGCGCGGCGGATGTAGTGCCGGACATGCGGCCTTTCCTGTGCCCGATAGCTGATCCTGTCTCGGATACGCGGCCCCTTCTGTGCCAGACACCCGGCCGCTTCTGTGCCAGACATTCGACAGTCTCAGCGATTGAAACAGCGATGCCTCAGTAAACGGTCACCGCCGTTGCAATGGTTCTGGCGCCGCACGCTCTGTTAATACGCAGCGCATTACGATAACGGCACAGTGCGGGTGTTTCACGCCTTAGGTTTTTTTTATGAGCTCGTGGTATCTGGCCATTGGGTCCTAGGTCCGTACCTGGAAAATGTGATGTGCTGTGCGCTAAAATTCCCATAACAGGTTAGCGGAAAGATGCTATCGGCGGTTATGATATGCAGGCTGCCCATATGCGACTTTGAAAAACGTCGATTTTGGTCCAGAGCGGCGCTCGAATCGGAATCGTTGCCAAACACTTAACAAGGGCGTCATATAACAAATTGGTCTCAGCGCCCTGGAATCAGAAACAAGCAGGCAATCTCACTAAGCACGACGCACCGCCATTCATGTAGCCCAGGCCATGAAGTAAGTTATCCAGTGTTGGATTTCTGGTTGGTGGCTCTGGATTGGGGGGCATAAATTTTCTAGGTTCGGGTAGTAACTGTTAAGAATCTGAATTTTGAGCATTGTGGAAAACTATAAAATTTTGTTTAAGACACTGCAGTTATAGATATAGGCCGAAGTTGTGATGTGAAACGATACAGCAATTCTCAACTTAAGGTAGCGCGGTTTGTTACATTAACAAGAGTATAAAGCTGATAGAAAAACGGTGGACGTTGTCCCAGTACTTCGTGAGATAGTGCGTCGGGTTTGTTACGTCCCATTTATGGTTATGATGCGACCGCTGACCAAATATGCTCTCGCTTTTCTCTGTACATGTTTGAACCGAACCGACGTGCTCACCAGCCTTAAGCCCGCTGCGCCGGTCACTCATCCACTAAGACCTACGCCCTTACCATCGGGATTTTTGCCATGGCTAGCAAATGATACTTCCGTGCAAATGAACCATCCGAAATGAAAATATGTATGATGTTTATGACTCATTGCACTTTGCTTGTCTTGGATTTGTGTGGCCTATCGCATCTCTAGTTAGATTGCAACGATTTCTGGTTGGCTTGACTCCAGGTGACAACTTTTGTTGTTCTATTCCAAGTGTCGTCGATGGGAGAAAAGACACTTTTCACCTCTGAAACAGCTATACAGCATAATGTATGCCTGGTTCATTCAGTTTTTACTTAAAACGTCGAATGTAGTTTTGATGTTTTGGTGTTTTCGGTGGTCCACATTAAGCTATTAAGCTTACAAATGATACATGGTCAGGAAAACAATGTAATAATAGGGCTTTCGGAGGATGCCCGGGACCTCACAAGCATTTCAAGCAATACCTAAAATGTTCAGTCAGTTAAAAGTTTAGTCTGATAGTTACATGAAACGCCGGCATTACGTAAAACGGAGTTTTTAGTCCAGCTTTGGGTCTCACCTTCCATAAACGCACGTCAATGACAGGCGTTGGTGACGTCCGTCAACAGAGGAGCACACGCAAAAAATTAATTGTTATGCATGCAGCGACGCGTATTCTAAGACTCGATTCCACCAGTTTGGTAGATCGCACATTCCCATAGTCTTGTGCAACCAACACCTGGTCCCCTAAGTGAACCAGACGTCTGCTCTGCTCCGGGCCCCCGCCCAACACAATACAACGCAAGGTTACACACCCCAAGGTCAAGCAGCGAGCGCCTGCGAAAGCCGACGGTCAAGGCCGTCCCACTCTACCTTGCATAGTGCGATGGCCAGCAGTGACCACAGGTGAATTGGCCGAGGCAGCATCCCTGATCGACAGGTCAAGAGGTCAGCGCCGCAGCTGTCGCGTGCGCACAGACTGGTCACCCCGCTGCCAGGCACTTTAACACAGCGGCCGAGGCAGGGCCGTGTGGATCGAGGGAGCAGATGGTGCTGAGATTAGGCATGGCCTGTGACCAAACGAGTCCGATGAGGTTGATACGGATGACGAAGAAAGCGTGATGAAACGCGGCACCCAACTGAAAGCTGTGTGTTGTTTTGAAACATGACGATTTGTGGCAATAATGTGACAGGGCTGTAAGGAAGCCTATTTCTTTTGGGAGCAGGGTCAAATTGCATATGAAGTGTGCATTTCAAACTATGCATGGTGAGCACTTAGAGGCCTGGATGCTTCCTCGCCTGTCCGGAATCTGGCCAGTTAGTCTCAATCGGAACTGAAAATGCTCGCCAAATATAACGTCAAAATCTGAATAGCGGATTCAGTCATTCTAATAAGGCATAGGCATATTATATACCATGGCTGATGCTTCCTCCAATAAAAGCGTACGAAAGATTCACCAATGTTTTGTAAGCCGGTCCATGACAAGTTCATCAAGAAAGTGTTGAGAACAGAATGTGGGTGAGTGAGCGGAGCAAGCCACCGGGCACAGTTTACAGGCGAGAACAAATCTCATCTCGTCTTGCTTGGCTCGCTCGATTGATTGCACAAAAGCCGCGATTTGCTTACGATCACGGATGCGTAGTCCATCGACGTGGTATATCGAGCAATAGCCCAAAAAATTGATGGGATGTAATGACGTGGCTGGGCTGTCTTAAAACTCACAAAACAGGGGACAGCGATGGTACCGTGGTTACGGCGTTCAGCTCTGGACCTATCGGTCTTGGGTTCAAGTCCCTACCGCACCATTATCGCATTCCATATGATGCCTAGTAAAGGCAGCCGTCTCGAAATGGACCTAGCAATGCGTGAGACCTAAACTCACAATCATAGTAACTCATAGTACAGAGAAAGAAATGGGGATAAGCACAGAGCCAGGCTAAAGAGAGAGATTTGAGAAGGAGAAGAGAAAAGGAGTGTGGGAAAAGGGAGAGGGGAAAAAAGGGAAGTGAGTGGGACAGAGAGAAGGAGGGGGTAGGGAGGGAGAGAGAGAGAGAGAGAGGGTGCGCCGACGTGCTCTATATAAGAACCGGTGCGAGCGGCTGGGTGTGTTACAGCTCGAGCGGCAGGCAGGCGGCGCGTGCGGCAAGGCCACTACACGACCTCAGCAGCTCGCTCAAGACAGACAGGTGGGTCACGCGCCGGTCAAATGCTTGAGAATACCAGAGCTATCGTGAAACAAGTGACTGTATACGCCCGGAGCTTATAACTTTGCTGAGCCTTTGATATGAGAAGAGATTGCGGCCTTCGAGGAGGTCATGACGCGGTTAGGTTAAATTTTGTCGCCAAAATGGGTTGGTTAGTGATAATTCGGTATAAATAGCTTTATTTCTCGGAGAACAACTAGGAGAATAGACACATATATGGGTTAATATATTGGCAACATTTATTGCTAATGTCTGCTATTGTTTTGGTAAAGGCATGTTACCGAAATACCAACTCATCTATATATCCATTCTCCTGTTTTTTTCGGGAATAAGGCTATCACTACTGCGTTGTCTCTGTGAATAATGTTCCTCGCAGACGCACTGAACAACGTACGTTATTGGCAATTTGATCATTCCGTGCATGAATTTGTGCCATGAAGTGGCATCGATAACATCGACGATTTTGTCATCGATGAATTCGATGTGATTTACAATAAGTAAAGTGTATGGTATTTAGTTAGAATATGGCCGAGACGCGAGCTCCGAGTTCCCATGTAGCAAAAAAGCAGTGAACAATGCATTGTGTAGTTCTTATGCTACGAATATCCGACTCTCGGTGCATCAGGAAAAGCTTGTTAAACGCGGATGCAGAGTAATCGCTGACATACATGCTACAAACTTGCTCGGAGTTTCGGCTCTTCTACCAACGCTCATGATAATATTCATGAAGCTCAACCATGAGCCTGGAGTGCTGATCGCATATGCATTTAACCAACGCTCTTGGTCCCTCGAGGCTATGAACATCGCCAGAAACGTCCAGCATTTTCGTAATATATATCATGGTCTCTCGTGACTATGAACATTCCCTGAAACACTAAACATTTTCATACGTTTCAAAAACTGCTTAGGACCTCGTTTGCACCAGCCCTGTTCTTTAGTGCCAGGTGATTTCATAGAGCGCTTATCTAAGCCACGTGTACGCTACAAACTACGTTGCAGCTGTCCACAACAAAAAATCGGCTGATGTCATTTTGTAGTACAGATTCGTGCAAGGAAAAATTCAGTTGTCACTAGCCAGCACCTTTTTGGAAAAGCCCCGAACCCAAGTGTGTTATGGCTGTTGTGATTGGTATGCATGTTGGATTGATCGTGTCATTTAGCTTTTACGTAGCAGCACCGACACTGCTGTCCATAACTGAAATACCAGTGGTTTACAATGGGGGCACGAAGTTTGAACGTCACACGCACCGAGGTTCCCAGAAAACATTTGTTATTTGCGTTACGGCTTTACTTTCCGCGACGTATGATGTTTTACAAATGAGTCAGTGAGCAGAAATGCTGCTACAACTCTGGCCTTTTGAACCGTCACCAGAGCTATTTAGTGCATGACAATGCACTACAGAGCGCCAGAGTATAGAATTTTTACACATCTCACTGCAGTTCCAAATGTCAAATGACCTAACGTTAGTCCATCTTTGCATGTTTATAATGATCGTAGCAACTATATAAGTGTATTATTCATCCCCATCGCTACACCTATCGCAAAATCAAGTGGCATTGGTTCGTACGTTACTGAGTGAAATGGGTGGGGGCCGTTGAGCTAACCATGACCAGACGCTCCTCAAAGCAATCAAATTCTGTTTTTTCTAAAGATTTGGTCTTCTTTGATATCCAAATTGAAAGGAGTTGTAGGGGCTAATTCCCCAAATTTGGAGTTATCAGCAGCGTGTGCGTGACCACCACTACCTTTTCCTATTCAAGAGGCATTATCCGTGTAACGTTATGTTTGCATCTCCAGCCATCACCCAAGCTCCAACTCCTCTCCCAAAACTAAAGTTTGCTCGCCCTCGGGCCTTCGGTTCATCAGAACATTCCGCTCCTCTCCCGTTAATTGGTCACGCGCCCGGTACCGGCCGGATGTTGACAGCAGTGGCCTGATGACGTCACGGGCGCATTCCGATGGCGTCGGCTGTAGCTCGGCCAGTAGGTCACCTGGGACGTGACGAGTAAAAACGTTCACTCTTGGACGGAAGCTGAAATTGCGACGGCCAAATGCCAGACTGGCCCTGCCCCGGTGCCCTTCCAGTGCATATTGCCCCCCCCCCCTCCCCCCTCCCCCTCAGCCGTCATCTGAGACTGTAACTTTGATGGTAAGTGGTGTCATGTCGGCCGATAAGCTTCACCAATCTCATTAAACTGCTTTTCAATTGGGTGATGCCATTACTTACAAGGGGGTGGAAAAATTGCATAATTACGGACATGCTAAACGCTACAAAATGGACTGGAGCATGCGACATTTGACTGTTCACTAATTGTTCTCCATTCCTTCCTCTTTCGCAGGCCCCAATCACCGTCTTGTTGGTCAGATATCCTGCCCGAGTACCAGTGTTTCTTAATTCCAGACTTTCTTACCATCCACTGCCTACTGAAAACCAAACGTTTTTAGTGTAATAGTTACCCGTAATGGTTAGCAATTTATATTAGCTGAAAGGAATGTCTCAGGTGCCAAGTGACGCTTAGGAACTTCTCTCAGCCTAACTGTAAAAAGTAAACCGTACGCCGACAAAACCACGTTGCCACTATATCAACCCAGCAGGCGCTGAAGAAGTCAATTTTTACAGCGTGGTATGAAGTTCAAGGGAACTGGGGCTGTCAACAAGTCTTCTTATTCGAGATACGTAGAACGAGCAAGATGCATTCAATGGCCGCGTCTCAACCCCAAACAAATCCTAAGCTCATTACTTACTACCACATGCTGCTACTGCTTCTCAGTAAACTCAGAAAAAATTGGATGCCAAGTGGATACCAAAGTGAGTCGGAAACGTGCCACAACCTCCCGTGCAATTATGCTTCAAACGGGTTTGGGAAGTCCATTCTATCAATGGTTTAGCAGTGATGTAGAGGTGCACGCGAGTCATCAATGTCAGGAGGTTTTGTCGGAAGCTAGCGGTTTGTCAATATCTGATCTCCGTTTCCCAGTTTGGAAACACTGTTATGCACCCAGTGTCCTGTTTTTCTGACATCCCCCACAGTTAGAAGAACTATGAGCGCATACAAAACATATGTGCGCAACTCTGGAGGCCCACAACTGTTTAAACTGTTATCGTCCATCTCGGTGACGAAAATGTGAGGTAGCTGTGAGCCAGACAAACCGGTCCTGCCATGTGTGGTTGTGAGCTGGCCATTTACTACTTTTTCATGTCAGTGATGATAAAAAGATATCCAAGACTTGGTTGCGTTATATATGGATATATATATATATATACCTATCTCTCTCTCTCTCTCTCTCTCTCTCTCTCTCTCTCTCTCTCTCTTCTCTCTCTCTCTCTCTCTCTCTCTCTCTCTCTCTCTCTCTCTCTCTCTCTCTCTCTCTCTCTCTTCTCTCTCTCTCTCTCTCTCTCTCTCTCTCTCTCTCTCTCTCTCTCTCCTCTCTCTCTCTCTCTCTCTCTCTCTCTCTCTCTCTCTCTCTCTCTCTCTCTCTCTCTCTCTCTCTCTCTCTCTCTCTCTCTCTCTCTCTCTCTCTCTCTCTCTCTCTCTCTCTCTCTCTCTCTCTCTCTCTCTCTCTCTCTCTCTCTCTCTCTCTCTCTCTCTCTCTCTCTCTCTCTCTCTCTCTCTCTCTCTCTCTCTCTCTTCTCTCTCTCTCTCTCTCTCTCTCTCTCTCTCTCTCTCTCTCTCTCTCTCTCTCTCTCTCTCTCTCTCTCTCTCTCTCTCTCTCTCTCTCTCTCTCTCTCTCTCTCTCTCTCTCTCTCTCTCTTTCTCTCTCTCTTTCTCTGAGCCTCTTTCCCTCTCCCTTTTATCTCAGCCGCGTGCTCGCGTCATGTGCCGCGCTGTTAGTATTAGTGTGCCACGCTGTTAGTATTAGTGTGCCACGCTGTTAGTATTAGTGTGCCACGCTGTTAGATTAGTGTGCCACGCTGTTAGTATTAGTGTGCCACGCTTGTTAGTATTAGTGTGCCACACTGTAGTATTAGTGTGCCACGCTGTTTAGTATTAGTGTGCCACGCTGTTAGTATTAGTGTGCCACGCTGTTAGTATTAGTGTGCCACGCTGTTAGTATTAGGATGCCACGCTGGCTCCTGTGACCATCGTACTTCGCCCAGCAGGCATGAGGGTTCTCCTGCTCCTTTGCTGCCTTCTGGCGGTGACCTCGGCGGCGCCGCAGTTCTTCTTCCGGCCGCGGCCGGGTCAAGCCAGTGGCGGCGCCCAGAGCTCAGTGACCAGTGGCACCAGCTCCGGCACCCAGATCTCATCCTTGCAAGCCAGCGCCGGGGTAGGTCACAGGCTGGTAGCGTAGTCAGCACATGTCGCCTTGCAGGGCCAGCGGGTGATTCCGAACAGATCCTGTTGATGAGGGCGGTGGTTTGACGGTTGCATGTTAAAGCCTTAGGCTGCTGGCCGTTGTCAGGAGTCCATACAATGCCCCAGTTGAGGTCATCCTCCTCTCCCTCTTCCCACTGCCCCAGCGGAGTCACTCCTGGTCTTAGGTCAACAAAGGCAGCCATTTTCAGCCAATAATTAGCCTATTCTATTTGGTCGTTGTGCAAAGAACTTCATTCGCTATGCATAAATAAATGCATTTAAATGACATGGCATAAGTGGTGATGAATACGATACAGTTTGATTACAAGTTCATTTCATTGAATTAAGCAATCGTATCGGTATTCATTTATGCATGGGTTTGCGGAAATTAACAATTAAGAAGCAAGGGAGTGAGATTGTTATCATTGCGCATTAGCGGCTGAGCTGATTGTAGAGCTTACACCACCAGAGTCATTCTACGTGAACTGGTCCACTGATGAACAGTTCCGAAGTATTAATATGAAGCCCCACAACACCGAAATCAAACAAACAAGGATTACGCTGCATTTTGAATGGCACACCAAGCAGGCGCTTCTTTTGGTGACTATATCTGTTAAGGCGTGAAAGCATGATATCGTTTTCATCTCAAATTGTGGATGGCTGTGCCTCTCGCACACTTGTCCTGAGGTTAGGATAAGTACCGGTGCGATGTGGAGGCAGTGACCCTGGCCCGCCCTTAGGGATCCGCTAGCGGCAATGCATCCAGCTCTAACTCCGCCAGCGCTGTGAGCAGCAGCAGCAACGGCTTCTTTGGCAGCTCGCAGACCTCCAACACCAACGCCCAGTCCAACCAGCAGACCGGCAGTAACGGCTTCAACAACAATTTCGGCAACTTCGGTAACTCCAACCGCTTCACCAGCTTCAGCTCCAGCAACAGGAGGCCGGCGGGGAACAATAGACGCCCGTGCCGCCGCTGCGGCTGAGAACTGCGAGGTCACGCGCTGTGTGTGACGAGCCATGCGCTCCCAGTACGGGGCAGCAGCCGTGCCGCTGCATGCAACCCTCAGGCCGATGTAAGAATGGCGTCAGGCGCTTCCGCCAATTCGTTGACTGGATGTGACCTGCCGTGCAGTGGCGTGACTTGTACATAAAAATGTTGATGTGATGACAAATATAACTGCCTCGTTTGAGCTGAAGCGATTGTGTGCTGATGGCGCAGTGCGGTTTTTTCGACTATAATGCAGAAAGATGCGCATGGTATGGTAACTTTCCAAACGACTCCGCGGATTGGCTCGGTCACGATGATGCATCAGGTCGCCATGATCATTGGTGCCCAAAACTGTCACACTGGTGGCTGCAACATGGCAGCTGAATGATAACACAGGACAGGGGATGCCAGCTCAGGTGAATGTGGTACAGGGGTGGCGCACTTCTCCAACGAGCGTCACTTCTTCCTCAGACTCTCGGTAACACACTTCTCCGACGAGCGTCACTTCTTCCCCAGACTCTCGGTAGCACACTTCTCCGACGAGCGTCACTTCTTCCCCAGACTCTCGGTAGCACACCTCTCTGACGAGCGTCACTTCTTCCCCAAACTCTCGGTAGCACACTTCTCCGATGAACGTCGCTTCTTCCCCAGACTCTCGGTAGTATACCTCTCTGACGAGCGTCACTTCTTCCCCAGATTTTGTGCATGGTGACCCAAAAAACGGGCCCCAACTTTCGATCGGCTTCATTTCTTAGTTTCCTGTTAGAACGGAATGAAGCTTCGGTTACAGTTTCACTTAAAATATCATATCAAAACATGGCAGTCTTTGGCAGTTTCTTCTTTATGCCTGAGAATGTGTTTCAGATGACCTCCATCTAGATTAGCGCACTTCTTGAAGCGCAACACAAAGTTGTCCATGATGTCCTTACAAACCAACTGAGAAATGGCTTTGATCTCCTTCCTGATGGCTTCGTGAGTCACGTGATGTTCCTGGGTCTCCCCGCGTGCACTCTGTCCTTTAGATAGCCCCAAGGAAAGAGAGCTGGGGGGAGGGAGCTTAGGGCTGGGCTATGAGGTGCCCATTAGAATCAGTCTTTGAGACTGATCACACAGCCTCCGAAGTTCTCCTTCAGCCAATTTCGGGACAAGTTTGGGGTGTGAGAGTTTGCTCCGTTTTGCTTGCTGAAACTAAAAATTCCTCACAAGCAACAGGTACAGTGTCTATAGCTCACTCTTGAATGTGTTAAGGACTCCACATACCGCTCCTTGGTGAATGTCACTGTCGCACCAGATTCCCCGATGAAGAATAGTCCGATGATGCCTCCGGCTGAGATTGCTTCCCTCGTCTGTACGCTTCCTGGTGTGTCCTGGTTGGCTTGGACAGCTTTCACTGGCTGCAATGAGTTTACCTATGGTCCCATACTTCTCAAAGTGGTTCACCCAGTTCTGAATTCTTCTTTTGGAGGGAGCATTCTCACATCCTGATGCATGAAATTCGAACTGATGCATGAAAGTGTTCCTGATGTTTTTGATTTTTAAGAGCCTGTCTCGTTGTAATGACTGACGCAGTTTATTATTTGCTGGAGCTCTCATTAAGAACCAGTTATTTACATGCGTTGCTTCTGTCATGTCCTGCTAATCAATGGTGATTAGGGAATAAGTGGGAGAAATATCAAAAAAGCTGCGCGGGGCCGTTTTTGGGTTGCCCTGTATTTTTCGGGTAGGCCACTATCCCCTCCCCCCCCCCTACCTGGAAAGCCCATCCCACCGCTCCCAAAGCTGAATTCCCCCCCAAAAAAAATTTTGGAGCCCAAGTACAAACAGAATATCATAACTTGTGGCTCAAAATCATGAAAGGCTTAAAGCTGTACAAGTTTCCAATATAATAGTTGCATACGTAACAGGGCGAAGAAAACGCAGCCTGGGGCATCATGCTCAACTGAGTGCAGCTGACGGAGGTAGTCACATCTTTCTAGCTCCGCGTTTTTGTCGTCTTTATTTGAGGATTTAGTATATTTTGCTGCACGCTGCATGTCTTTTAGAACACGATTCATATGCATCGCTCGCTGTGGTTTAGTTGTGTATTCTCTGAATGTTTTGGCAGTACTCCGCGATGTTTCAAGTTCTACAGACCGCAAGGAATTGTGTTGCGCTTGCGCCTGCATCCGGCTTTGCGGCTACCGGCTGGGGTTTCCGTGGCGGCTCTTAACAATCGCGCACATCAGCTCACGCTCCTCATTCCCGACCTCGCACAGTCCAACAACATTTAAAACCATATAACACCGACCGTACGCCGGTTGTCAAAACCATGTTTAAATCATCGACGCCCCACGAAATGATGGTGCTCGACACCTCCCGCCTCGTCGGAGAGAAGGAATGTACTGGAGCACGGGTGTAGTTTCCTATTCAGTAGGGGGCAGGGGACTCCAACTCCGTAACATTGAGAGGAAATTGGGTCAAATCCACGGAGAAATCTGCTAATTGTGAATGTTTGAGGTAGTTTTAGCAGCTTTCCTCGCTCAGGCCCAAAATCTTTTCTGCGGAACTACCCTCTCGTGGTGGAGGCTCCATGACCGTGACGCACGACGGATTCGCTGCCACAGTATTTCACACCGTCCAGTCCACTGCACCGCTCCAAGGCCGAAAGCACCTGGGTCAAAAGTTAGGTGAGTCAAGATCGCTGTAAGGCGACCGTTGGCTTCACTAACCACGTAGCGACGCCACACTTCTCAAGAATTTCAGCCGTACTGAAGACAAATTACAAGCTGAATGGACCTCTCACGCTGAACATAGCACGGGAAGAAGATGCCGAATGAAAAATTGCGATAGTTGTAGGTGCAATTGGGATTTTAGAGCTGTTACGCTTTTAGTACGTAATTCTGAAACTGTTTTGGGGCAAGAAAAATCCCAAAATACGCATGTACTGCTCAAAATTCCAAAACATCAACGCGTATATCGTAGAAATGATAAACATGCACAATTATGACAGGTTTCAAGTGCATATCTGCACTCGTTTTGACCACTCCGGTGGTGCAGTTGGCTGATGCGTTGGCCAACGCTTGTGGACGGCCTTTGCTTCAAGCCCGACTCGGGTGATGCTTTCTTCACCAGGCTCCTTCTCAGGCGATGGCAGCAATTGGGAAGTGATCACCCTGTCCCAGGATGAACGCTGCGCCACCAGCTCTCGCGGCGGTTGGGTCGCGGGTACGCAAAGAGATCCTTCAGTACGACTGCCCACTGCTGGGCCGTGGCCTTGCCCTGGGTCGCCGGAGCAGTCATTTGACCCCCAGCACCAAGAAATCGGTGAAGGCATGACTATTTGCTGTCATAAGAATCCTGACAGCAAGCGCTTGGTCAAGACCGTGCCGCAGGGGTGCTGAAATGGAGCCTCTGCCTGACATAGTGTACAGTGTATGAGGTGGGTACTGGTCATAGGTGATCTGTATATCTTTCTGCACGACTCGGCGGCTGCTTCGTCAGGTGTTGAACCTTTTTGCGCTCGCCCACATTGTGCTTACACCAACGTTCCAGTTACCCAGTGAATAGGGGTCATCGCTCGGCGTAATTATCCCACCTCTCCAAGCCAGGTCCAGCACACGGATATCGTGCTCAGCCACAGCAGTGACTGGAACTAGACTGACGTCGTCGTGACGCGACATGACGTCATCTGGATTCTTATACCTTGAACGTAAACCGCAACAGAACAGCAGAAAAAGAAAAAAAATGTTGCATACAACTATTGCTAACAATGTCATGCCCCACCTGGATCTCCGTGCGGTCGACTGGTGCGTTGCCCTGACGTTTTTGCTTTGTTTTGTTTTGTTTTATTTTGTTTTTGTTTTTTGTTAAGACCACCGCGATGAACCCCAGTGGCTCAAAGGGACAGCGAAACCCAGGAGCGAGTACCGCGTTATCTGTGGTATCGTCGGTTGCAAAAGGATCATCGCCAACAAAGCTTCTAGATGAGCTGGTATAGGCCGGGCCAGCGAGTTCGTCGCAAACTTTACAATAATGCTACGGTAAGTTTTTGGAAGCAGCCACGGCCGGAACACAAGACGTCCGCGTTACATGAGTATGCACCGGTTCCTTCGCCTATGACATGTTTGCGAACATACGCATGTAAAATGCGTTTAAATGCATTGTAAATGCGTATAAACATGTAAAATGTGCTATGGTATCGATGAACCCCAGCGGAGCCTGTGATCGCGATCACCTGACGCTTTATGACGCCAAGGCCTGTTGACTGATCCTTTTGTCAGCTCCATTGCATTTTATCAACATAAGTGTTGCCTCTGGGACAATGCCGAGGAAGAAGGCGATATCGCCTGTGGGGCTGGTGGTTAGATCTGGCGACATTAGGAAACTTCAAACTAACCTCACTCATTCGTTTTGTGCTTATGCCAGGAGAAAACGATGAGAAATAATTTGTTTTCAAGGACAAAATTACGCTAGCAAACACTGGTGTATCAGTCGTATCAGTCCTCTTCCAAGGCTATGTACGGCAAAATAAGTTAGTATCGAGCTGTCGAAGCTCAAATGGCCTAGATTTAGCGTTATTGAGCTATGATATGAACTAAAAACGGCAAAATAGAGGTTTAGTAGGTAAAATTGTAGGAAAAAACTTTTTTTTTGCCTCAAATGATCTCGTTCATTCCGTATGAATTACTGTCTGTAGGGTGGTGAGATGTATTTGGGCGGCTGGCATGTGGCAAAACGTCTGTGAAAATAACCGTTCAAACGTTATTATTCGCTTTCAAATCCCATTTAGAAGTCATTTCCTGAATTGTTCACTCCTACGTTTCAAAAGTGGTACGAGTTATTAGTAAAATATCACTGACATGAAGTAAGATTCTCTGCCAGGCTTTGCGTGGTGTTTGCGTGGTGTGACCAAAAAAAATTGGGCATGCAAGAAAACCTTATATTTGGCACGCAGCTGTAGCTTACATGTGGTATATGTTGTAAACAAACCAAGATTGACGAATTCGGGAGGCTAGAGCCGCTGGGGCTCTCGGGCTTGAAGGTAGCTAATGCCCCTGCTCTGCGTATGTATAGGCAGGCTTCCAGGGCTAAACTGTATGGCACGCGGCTCGCATGAAGCTTGTTAGGCACTTTTGTTTGGTATCAATTCAGGCAAGATATCTATGTTCTCTTCGTACTGCCATGGACATCCTTCCACTATGGTATGGCATTGTTGATGTGTTGTGTGCGTACATGCACCGTGGCATGAGCCAACTCTGAATCTTTCGCACAGCTAGGTACTTAACTGCTCACATTTGTAATTAACGAGATTCACTTTTACTGTGCAGACCTAGCTTCAAGCCATAGGCATAGACATGTAGACTACCGAGGTTCAGGTTTGAACGCTGAGTTGGTGACTCAAAGATAATGATTCAAACATGGTTAAGATGTAGGTGAGGCAGGATGTAGCCACAGGTTTCCTAGTTCTGTAGAGCATTGTGTATGCCTGGTGGTTTCAAGTAAGTTAGGACTTGGATGACGTCATAGGAACGGCTGAAAGGAAAATATGGGTAAAAGATATGCGTAGTTAGGCAGTTTCAGGTGGGAGTGAAAAATTCACATAGCATAGGAGAAGAAATGAAAAGCTATTCCTCGTAGGTCATCGTTTTACACTCAAAGTTGACAATTCTAGAACACTGC